CCATGTCTACACGTCAGCAACATACACAACCACGTAGCGAGGTCGCGGTGGAAAAGCGTGGTGGGAGCATAGGGGCGGCTTAGCAACAGCGATCGGCAAGAATTTGACCATGCGCCCATCACGCTCCCGACACGACCTCACCACATACTCACTACTCTCAGCGCGGTCCACTCAAGTTCTATAATTTTTACGCGTGGTAGCCTATTTGGGTGGTCTCAGAGAGGGCGTGGCGAGGTTTTCGTCAGCGTATGAGAGCGTGACCATAACCGATCTCCTCGCTCCCGGTATACTGTCCACGCTTTCTTTTCCATCACTACTTCGCTGCGCGGATAGCATGCATGCTCCATACCAGCGTAGTTAGGTCGTGACCAACCCCGCTCTCTACGTTCCTACCATATCTTACTATCATTATTTATTATTATTTAATACATTTTTCACGAAGTATTCCGATGCGCTTAACAATAACAAACTAAAAATACAATTTATGATAAAAAAGAAAAGTTATAAAAAATAACAAAAAACATTTCCTAAAAACAGTGAAAGAAAAATGATATAAAAAATTTAACTACACATAAAACACTCAAATGTGTAAAATCAGTAAAAATCCTGTTTGAATAAATGAGTTTTCAAATGCAATTTGAACGCAATGATAGCAGGTGATTCCCGAATAAAATAAGGTAATTGCTTCCAAAGTAACGGTGCATAAAATGAAAAGGCCCTCTCGCTATAGGATGCTAGTCTGGCTCGAAGTTGTACTAACAGTAAATCATGATTAGAAGACCTTGTCGTATTTCTCACTGAAGTGCGGATTTGTATTAATTCGGAAAAGTATGGAAGAGCTAAACCATTAAGACATTTGTGTTAAAACTATATTTTAAAATCAATTCTGAAAGATACAGGAAGTCAATGAAGGGTATAAAGAATTAGAGTTATGCTGACAAAGGCCATGATCTGGCTATTTTTCTTAAGCCGTAGCGAGGTTGTGGTGTATTTGTGAAGGGGGTAACGGAGAGCTGTTGTCCCCGATCTCAATATTTACTGGTTAAACAATTATCATGTGAATGAATATATTCAGTTTATTATACATGAATAGTTAAATTTGAACATCTTAGTAAATACCCATTGCTTTAAGTATCTTTTTTTCTGTTTGCTCTTATCTTAGTAGTTTAGGGGAATTTTACTTGGGTATTTATGTGTTTATAAATAGCATAGACAAGGCGAAACATTTTAACCTGTACGTGATAAAAATATATTGTCGCTGCACCCAATTTATGTCCTTGACCAATTATTGCTTTCAAATTCATAGAAATATAGCACGTAAACCAATGGGTATATTGATACCCTAAATGAACTATAGGTTAATAAAGAAGATCTACACCGAACGATATGTTTATCTATATATACTATTCAAAAAAAGTAGGGGATATTTGATTTTTAAGTGTTATTAAAGTCACCTAATGAAACTGACGAAGAAACAAATGACAAAATGAAATGAAGTTCACATTCATCGATTTATTCCAAATGATCGTTAGACTAAGTAAGGCACAGACTGACCATTATAAGGGTAAAATGATACCCGGGGTCAAACAGCAAAGTTACCACAGCATCACAACCAAGTCAGTAACGGGAAAATCCTCCTCTGTTTGCCAAACAAGCATTGATCCGACGTGGCATACTCCTAATGAAACGTCTAAGGTCATTTTGGTCCAGATTGTCCCATTCCTGTTGCAACGCAGCAGCAAGTTCTTGGACATTGGCAGGACGTTGTTGACGTTGACGTAACCTCTGTCCAAGCATGTCCCAGACATGCTCGATGGGGGAGAGGTCGGGACTCAGTGCTGGCCAAGGTAATGTGGTGATGTTCTGTTGTTGGAGGTAACCTGTAACGATCCTGGCCCTGTGACATCTTGCGTTGTCATCCTGGAAGATGAAACGGCGGCCATGACGTCGTGCGAACGGCACAACATGGACTGCCAAGATGTTGTCCCGGTAGTACTGGCCTGTAACACGCCCTGCAACAACATGTAAAGCCGTTCTTCCAGCAACAGTGATGCCTCCCCACACCATAACAGAACCACCCCCAAATCGATCATGTCTGATGACGTTAACGTCTTGGAAGCGCTCGTTTCGACGACGCCACACCCTCCTACGTCTGTCCAAAAAATCAACAGTGAACCTTGACTCATCTGAAAACATCACATTGCTCCAGCGTCGATTATCCCAGTGTTGACGATCCCTACACCAACGACGTCTTGCCTGAATGTGATGATCTCTCAAACAAGGGATCACGCGAGGACGTCGGGCGCGAAGGTGACCCCTATGCAGCCGATTCCGAATCGTCTGGCCACTCACTCTCACACCAGTGTCTGTTTGAAGACGAGCGCTGATCTGATTTGCTGTGATGACACGATTTCTAAAGGCCAAGGTACGGATAAATCGATCCTGGGCTTGAGTTGTCGCCCTTGGTCGACCTGAGCGTGGTCTGTCCTGTACAGATTGTGTATCACGGTATCTGGACCATAGCCTGCTTATGACAGACTGAGAAACATTCATCGTCCGCGCCACAACCGCCTGTGTTGTGCCGATCTGTAGCATGCCAAGGGCACGTAACCTTTCATTTTGGGTAAGCCGACGCATATCAAAATTTGTTTTCTGGTCACTAAAACAATTAAACTGATGTTTCCACCCTGGTATTCAATGCCACAATGACTGTAACATTCAAAGTCAGAGTCGTGCAAATCTTGGGTTGGACCCCCATGATGATCCCAAGCATCACCTGCATTCCATGCGGTAGCTATTGGTGCGTTTGGGCGTCACATGTAACTGGAAATGTTTCTTCTGTTAGGTTCTATAGTGACTTTTTTCGTAGTCATTTGCATATTTTAGTATTATGCCCCCAAAATCAAATATCCCCTACTTTTTTTGAATAGTATATATATATTCGTGACTGTCGTTTGTCTGTCTGTCTGTCTGTCTGTTCGGGGTTGGCGGCTACACTAGGTCTGCCTAGGTGTACATACACGCGTAATTGTAAAAATACAATATAACAAATATAATTTGAGATAACTGTATAACAAACATAATTACAAGCTAACTGGAAGTCTTTATTCTAAAACCCTAAACAACTCCTTTTAACATAACACATTTGAACTCATTAAAATGGCATGTAACTATGTAACCAGTTGTTAACCACATGAACAAGTTGTCATTAAATTATATAGTATTTTACTGATAACGAATTGCATGTAATTTAAAGTTTATATTGGCGAGTTCTTGAACTTGCTTCGGTGTGATCATGGATCTCAAACCGTACAACTAGTTCAATATATCAATATTGATATGTTGTCAGTTTCATCAATATGTCTGTAGGCTATCGGCATGTCCATTTCGAATGTACGACGTCCCGGCCACAGAGATTTGTAACCCAAACTTCTTAGTCGAAATGTTCTACTGTCCATTTCCTTAGATATAACGTTGTAAGATTTATAATTCAATAATTCGCTTGCGCGTAGGAGTTTAGGGAAACCGGAGGACCTCTAGAAAACACAATTTGCATGTCGCGAAATTAAGTTATTCGTGCAACAGATAGCGAACACATACGCGTCGATTCATTATTAAAGATTGTACTAACATTCAGTAAACTAGATATAGTTCAACTTTGATATATTAATAAGTTAAACGTATTCCATTGGCGTACTACTATTTATAAATTTCAATTTAATGCATTGAAAACAGACAATGTATATTTATAATGCGTCTTTAATTATATTTTAAGTGTTTTACTTTGTGAAAACTTATAACGAAATACAATTAAACAGAAAATAGAAAACGTTTCCAAGAAAAGCAGGTCCATTCGTGTTAAAATTAAGCAAATAACCCACGCGAAATCTACTTGTGTATATATAATACACTATATACCCGAATATCTATCTATTGTACATAGGTAGGTAATAGTCGAGCTTTGATTGTATACATATGAAGTGTATTTAACTTTTCTAATCCAATCACTGCAACGAGGATGTTGTTAGGAGTTTTTTCCCCCATGTCTTTTAATAGTAACTTATATGCTCTAACACCCGTCATTGTCAACATTAATACTATCCCTGTGCTATGGAAGCCAATTGCGGTCATATCATCACGAAGGTGGGAAGTGCAGGCCGAAAAGAGCGGGAGCGAGAGTGTGAAAACGCGAAGAAACAGGGCGAGAATGCGAGGATCTCTATACGAGAACACAAGATTATTAACCTCAACTTCTCACGTTCTGGCCCACGACTTCTCGGTTTTCGCTTTCAATCCATTAAAAATAATCACGTTCTCGTTCTCTAGCCCTTGACTTCTCGCTTACTCGACTCGAAAGTTCAATTCGTACGCATGTTCAATGACTACCACCAACAACTCAATTTACCCCAAAACAACAAAAATATACTCAAATCCCCCCCCCCCCCCCATCTACTTGTATTCCAACTCGAATCACATTTATTATCATTATATCGTTATTTGAACATTCCTTGTGACAAATAACGATATAATGATAATAATAGTATTTAAGTGCATCTGTGTTGGTTTGGGTAAATTGTGCTGTTGGTGGTAGTCAGTGAATATGCGTACGAATTGAACTTCCGAGGAGAGAAAACGAGAAGTCTCGAGGGAGCGAGAGAACGCGATGATTTTCGAATGCGAGAAAGCGGGATGTCGAAGATCAAAACGCGGGAAGTCTCGTGGCAAGATCCTCGCATCTTCATCCTGTTTTCTCGCGTTCTCGCCCTCAACTCCATGCCCTCTCGAAATCTCGCTTTCTCGCCCTTTAGATTATGAAATGGCAACAATATGCTTCCATATTATACGCATGACCCAAGTCTTCATATCTCTCTATATAACAAAGAACGCACATTACTGGCTAGAAATAATATTTGGCCCACAAAGATTAAATTGTAAAAGATACATATAAATCGAGCAAACTTCCTGGTCTACATGTCATTGGTATGCTTTGTGTTTGACAGGTAACAGGCTCTGAAGAAATTGATATTGAACCACACGGACAGAGTTTGCAGTTTGGCCACGATTTAGGAATCATGGAACCTTACGGCTTAGTGTCTTCTCATCATCCACTGATAGAATCCGATTTCTTCAACCCCCAATTTGAAACCCAGGAACTGACAGAGTTATCCAATGCAGAGTTTCGAGAAGGTAAGACAAACGTTTTCGTTACACTGACTATTTTGAAAGTATGTATCAATCTTTGCGTTTCACTAAATGTGATTTAAACTAGTTGTGCTACTTGCATTTTAATGCATCGGGTGTTGAATGGGGTCTGATAACTGGTGTTTACTTTGAACACAGGTTGTTTGGAGCAAAGCATATGCTGAACACAGGTTGTTTGGAGCAAAGCATATGCATGGTTAGCTTAAGGACTAAACGGATCTTCGGAAAAAAAAACATCCCGGAGCTAACTGCAATCTAACAGCAAGTAGTCTCAGCTAACTTTTGCTGACCACAGTCACACGGACCTGCATTAGTGAAACGCTGAGCCATGAAGAATTATTGGTCCTTCGCCACCTGCAACGACGTTCGTTGTCTTTTCAATGAGGTTGTTCCATGACAGATCTCTATAACCCTGACATCTTACATAATAATCCAACTTGCAGTACAGGATTATCTCACAAGTCAAAGTTATTATTGGGAATACAATACAAATTTCCCATACATGCATGGTGGATCACAGAATGATCAAATACAACTTAGAAAAAACCACAGTCAATATTATATAATGTTTTATAGTACAATAGCAATATTCCCCCCCCCCACTTAAACATTGGAACTGTACGACGTGATCGAATTGCATTTATCTAACACTGGGCGTATACTATGGACTATAAACTTATTAGATGTATTAGATTGAAAAAACTTTATTGGGGACCTCGACACAATGCACCAGCATCGCCAGTTTTTACACTCCTTGCTACCCTTCTCCATTTTAGATGTGTATGTTTCTTATATTAAGTATGTACATAGACATGAAATAATACATGCAGTTATGTGTTATAGTCTTCTCAAATAACGTGCATATAATATTACTATATACGGAATTTATTACATTCATCGGGCTTTAATTTGCATACATAAAGCTCATTCTGTTTATAATGATAGGGAAATAAATCATATCATATGATATGTCAAGATGTATAGCTTAGATTTAATAGCATGTTTTGTGTACATGGATGTATCATCCTACTATTACTCCATGGAGTGTGGTATTATTACATAAAACAGATAGCTTGATCTATCAATTAGAGCGTATCTACGACTCCTACGAGTTCTAAACGCCTTGGATGTTGGGTCATAATGGATAAGCGTATTCTATCTAGAGAACCATTAACACACAGTAATAATAGCATACCATGTAAAAGGTAACCTTGTATAGAGCCATGTGTAAATCAATACATGAAAAAAAAAAATTAAACTTGACATACATACATGTGCTGTGAGAACAGTTTATGTCTCATAGTTAATATCTTGCGATAAGATCTTAGTCCCTAAAAAAACTAATAATCTTTATTGTACATATTTACTTCTATCGCTTTAGGGCATAATATTGCTCATAAGAAAATATTAGCAGTTCCTAGAATAAGATCGCTAAGTGATTTTTTTGGAGGTAATGAAAATTATATTAACAAAAAATTCAGAATCCTTGATAGTAACTTCCTGAAATAATCACTAATCGCCAATGTCTAACCTACGTGGTCTATTTGTTCTCAATGGCCAGTAATATATTGAACGTAAAGATACAAACACCTTCTGATAAACACGCCTTAATACTACATACTTTGAGTATTTCTATTGGGATTTTTATTTTCAAGTTATTTGCATTTATGTCTGACATCTATCTTCGTTCCTCTGTTTTAAGTGATTTATTTATCTTATTCCATGACAAGAGCATGTTTTATTACTGGTTCTTACGTATGAGAATCAAGCAGCTTTGTAATAAACGAATTAAGATTCACAGGTTATAATTATTGTGTCTCGTCGGGTTTTCCGATTTGAAAGGGCTTTGGTGACAGTCATGTTTAGAATATTGTATCCCGCTCAGGTATGATTTTATTGTGAGCTACGATGGCTCAGAGAGTATGGTCCTGGTTCACTCACTAAGAGTTCCCGGTTCAAGACGGTTCGTATGGGGTTTTAGGCCTAGCTTTCCCATGTCAGTGGAGCCGGGCCGAGGAAAAGGACCACTAGCCATGGTGTATGCCAATCTTTATTAAGATGTCCTGGCTCTAACCCTTGTGTGAACACGTCGCACGAAAAACCTTGTCGACAACAAGGAGTAATCTATGACCCCAGACATAAATAGGTTTTTGTATGCATAATTTTATTCAAATACGATCAAACTAGAGCTTCATATAAAGACTGAGAAATAATCAAAGTAAAAAAAAATATTTGAGGTATTAACAGTGAAGATATGAATTATAGGATATTTTTGAAACCATACAAATCAGCAAATAACTTAACTGACATTTCCGTGTAGAATCGTCCTTTGACGGGGTTGGTAGAGTACCTAGATTTTTGTTTTCAGATGTAAATTACTAGAATGATCAACACAATATCATCAGTAAGAAGGATTCCAAATAGAATCCTTGCACCGAGCGCAGAACCGATTAAGCATTATAACCAGCAAATGTTTAAAGGAGGGAGCAGAGAGGGCCACAAGACCCCTTGTTACCGATGATGTATTACTTTTAGTTTCTTGTCAAATGGTGAATGTAGCCACTGCCTCACTTCCGTTCTATTTGCAGCTATATACCCAACGTTAAATTGCTGAGAGACATTAAAAAATCGCGAGACAATTATGAACCATTTACCCACAAATTAATATTAAGGACATGGTCATGGTGTCCCGAAATATCCCCTGTATCCGCACAACGATTAAGGGAGGGTATAGGTCTTTAAAATTAATAATTTGTTTGTATCCTATCTTCCTTGTCAAACAATCATTTAACCAGCGAGAAAACATACTCGCATATCCTTTATAATAATTATGTGCTTTAAGGGATTTATTGATGGTGACGTTTTAAAGGAGTTTCTATTGAAACTTTGTCCACTAAAAATCAGGTAGCATAATATGGATGCTACATCTGATATAACATGTCTAATTATTTGGTTGTCGAATACCAATAAAACTGAGATTGTGTAACCCCCCACCCCCACCCCACACCTTCCAAAGCCGCCAAAGGGCAGGATGTTTGTTTTATTTTCTTGATACCAAATAAATGTCCTTGGCTTATCCTTTTTACATTTATTTACGCAATTGGTGTAACTATACACTTCTAACTATGTCTATCCATTTTGATTCTTGACGGTATTAATTTACTTCAAATTATGTAAAATATACCCTTCGAATACACTGGCGTATTCAGTTGAAGTGATACGGAACGAGTTCATACTCAATTACAGGTTTTATGTGGGAAAAACCCGTGTAAACTTGAAACTGTTATTGTAAAATCTAGGCGGTGATAAAGGTGAATTCTACCCGGATGCAAAATACCCATTGCGACAACGCGACCTTACAAGTTTATGACTGTACGTCATTTACTATTTAAGAGAAAAATGGCATTTCCAGCGTATGTCATTGCCGAAAACAAAAATGTTCGAATTTTGTGGTGGAAATTTTTAAAGGACCACCCATATATTACTAAGAAAGAACAGGGTTATTTGGCGACAATTACTAATATCTTTCAAGATTATTGGGTTTCTCCATTCATTTCAAAATGAAATGAAATGAAATGGGATTCAACGTCCTACTGTTCTGCTCCGAACTGGGCTAATGAAGACGGGCATACGCCATGCAGTGTGCTATGAGGGAAATTTTGCCCGGACAGCGGCACTACGGCCTACGCTTATATCGAATTCCAATTGTCAATGGATATTTTACGTGCACGCCAATGTGTACACGGGATCGGTTTTCCGTCCCATCCGAACGACTACACAGCTGTCCTTGTCAGGCCCTCCGTTCTGCATCACTGACAAGGGGGAACCATGCCGGAAAATCTGGATCAACTTTCTCGGCCAATGCAGGGATCGAACACCCGACCTCAAGGCTAGCGAGCCAGCGTCTTACCCACTTACCCACCAAAACCCTAGATCCATTAATTTCGAACTAAGTCCAGATTCATTATTCAGCAATGTATGTGCAATTCTTTAACTATACTATTAAATTACAAAAGATTTATATCATAATAAAGAGCGCCACCGTTTAACACCGCGTGTAGTTGGAGCGATAGAATCAATGGAGGGTAACACCTTCTATAAGCATTGCATTTATTCCGTTCTCATTCCATGACTGCTTCATCCCTTTTGGGTGTTTATCGACCATTATAATATAAAATAATAAATTTGTTAAAACTGTTTGTTTTCCTTGCGTGTTGTAATTGGTTGTTTGGAGGTGGGGCGGTTTGGTATAGGTAGAATAGAGAGAGACAAATACACCATATCAGAATTGGGATTTCTTTAGAGGTTTGCAAAGTCTCGTGTATAATGCGACCGAAGTCAGCCGTCTGATCAGATGGTATTCAGAATTTATGTTAGATCTTATATAATGTCCTAAAACAGAACCATTAAGACTAAACGAAGTTTGTATATTTAATTTAAAAGTCTTCGTTCATAAAGTTCTTTCTTTTCACTTAATCACCATTACCTTTCCTTTAACAATTTAGGCTGTTTTGCTTTTGCACGATTAATAAGTAGAAATAAAAGATATAACTATGTCACGTTTTAAAATAGAAATATTTATCATAGTTCCATAATTGAGGTTAAATATGCTAATCCAAAATCTTAATTTCTCACGACTTTCATTTAAAGATGCATTCCCACTAATATATTTATAGGCTAGTTATTTCCAAAAGTATGACAAATTTGGTATGTATGAAAAGTAGAGACGCCCAATCTTACTAGAAAGTTAATCGATTCTCTGAAAAACACCCACGGGGAAAGTACTGGGCAAAAATGCCAGGGTATCACTAACTGGCAACCCGACGGCTTATTGTTTGTCAGCTTGACATAGGGAGCGGTTGTTATTTCTTGATCGAATGGTCAAGCGGTTTTGGGAAGTAGGCATAAATAATCCAAGAAATTACTCAGGCTTCAATATCTATGGTAGATGTAAAGTCAATAACGACAAGTACATTCTGAAATTGGGCATTCCCTCAATCAAGTTACGTGACAGACATGGGTTCTAAAAATAGATATTTTATATCTTGGGGTACAATGTTTTGGGAGGGATTTTGGGCAAATGTTTGATAGATTGATTAGTTTGAATATGTTTTTAGTCTAAATATATCCTCATATCACCCAGTTTGTACTTGGCATGTTTAAAATTATAGATTGAAAGTGATTATCTATTATGGCGGTATAGATGCTGACGCATGGGGTCAACATATTGGAATAAGCGCATACATAAGAGTCAAACGCCTACCTAAATATAACGAAGCGTTGGCCATAATGACTGTATCATTATATTTTGCAATTAATATACCCTTTCCATGTCGTATTGATAAAGTTTATTCTTTTGGATACCAAATTTTCATTTATGTGCCTGATAATTTGGCTGTATTCTTCAATCAATAAGTATAGTATTAAAACCTCGGATTTCCAAGGACACATGACTTTAAAATGAGTCAATGTTTCTTTGTGTGCACTGGGGCGGGTCGACATAAATAAATATAATAATATGAATACACATATTATTATATTAATAGTAGACATTTTTCACAGTACGTCCTAAGTATAACACCATTTCTAATCAACATTTTCAATTATTTTGTAAGCCCATTTCTCGTGTGGATGGCTGTGTTCTCCAATCTTGTCTTAATAAAGTTGCTGACCGTCATTAGAGGAATTTTTAATAATTCTCAAACAAACAACAAAGGGGATATTATACTAAAATATGTTTAGAATTACTGCTCAGTACCTTCATTTAAAGCTTTTAGAGACTCTAACGATTTTCTTTTTCTTTCTTTTTTTGATATTGGTAGTATTGCTCTAGTTGAACAACATCACAGAATTTATCTACTCTCTAAATCTTCCACCATTTCATAAATAGCATAGATACTACACAGCTGATGGTAAGCGAGATAGCGATCGGGCTATGGAAAAGTGGAAAGCAAATCCAATTTATAAGTGGTACTAGCTGGTTTGAAAGATTAATAGGCTAAGACTAAGTAGGGCCGACCCCTTAAAACACAACATTTGAAGAAACCCACTTTTTTATGAGAAAGTCAGTTTAAAACGACCGTGTATTCGGCAATATTTATTTGTATTAAAGTCTCGCCAATTTGTGAGGTTTTAATTGTATTGTTTTATTCAATAAAAGAAACAGATAATACTGCGTAATAATATGTTAACATAGTATGATGGTCTTTAAGCACATGTTTACAATTTTTCAAAAATATTTTAAGGAGCTCTGAGTCATTACATCCGGGTATAAAACATGGAGAATGCGTTGGCTTGAATGGAAAGATATCAGAATTTACTATTTCTTTATTTAAGACAAAAAAATATGGTGATATGAAATCAATAGAGACCAATGCAAACTCTTTAGTTATAATTGATCGATTGGAATATATTTTGGACAAATATTTTTTCTCTTTTTTTTAAAGGAAAATGCATGATTTTAAACTCTAGTGTTACCCCTGTATCGTGCTCCTTTAAGTGCAATCTAAGTACACTCTAGGGTACTTTTATTAACTTAATCTATTTTTTATCTATTTTATTACTGCACGCTCTAATTCGTATGTTAGTTATTTGTGAAATGCCTTGTATAGAAGACAGTCGACAAATTATTTAAATTAGTAAGTAGACTATTGTGCTGTTCAATTTATATAAAACATTCCATTTAAACAGGATGCTATCTTCATCTTGATAATAAAACTCAGTTTTTACAATTCATCAAGCATATCATTAATCATTTTGTCTATGTTTATATATGTGTATAATGTCCTCTCTTTGACTTGAATTAATGAAATTATTTTGTAAACACAAGTAATAATATTCCTGTGTGTGTATATGTGAAATGATTTTTATGGTACGCACGTTTCAGCCATCTCATGTAAGATAGACAATATGAATAAAAAAAAAACATGCATATATTTAATACAAACGTCTGTTATTGTTTAGCTGTAAGACACAGTTGTCTTTCATAATTTGTAGGACGCAGTATTAGCATGACTAATTTGATGATCACGACCCAGTCACCAGTCGTGTCAAATGTCATTCATCAGGAGCATATTTTATGAGAGAGAGAGAGAGAGAGAGAGAGAGAGAGATGGGGGGGGGGGTAACCTTCTGACATGGGCCTTATGGTCTAAACAGAACAGTAGGACGTTAAACCCCATTTCATTTCATTTATGGCCTCCACCCGCCACAGTAGACTGAAGTCAGCCCGTACTGGGTGGGAAATATGTTCCGAACATTCTAAGCTTATACCGCCGCTGTAAACTGAAGTCAGTCCTACTGGGTGGGAAATGTGTTCAGAACATTCTAAGCTTATACCGCTGCTGTAGACTGAAGTCAGTTCGTAATGGGTGCGGCATGTGTCCCGAACAGATTATTTGCCAGACATTTGTAGTGGGGGAATATCCCTGACAAGAGTTATCTAATTTCCAGACCACAGCTACGCTAGATTAGCTAAAATCTGTACCACCTAAAACAGCTTTGGAGTTGTTCAGTACCACCACAGGAATCATCATGAATGACCACTGCCAGACAGTTTGTGCGGTGGGTTACTCCTAATAGACACGCCCTAAATTGTCACGCCCCCAACTAGGATAGATTAGCGGGCACTGTTCCCGTGTTCCAAAAAAAATAATTTTTTTGCCAGGATGTGTAGAATACTAATACCTAGCACGTGTGGAAGAAGCAATAAACTGCGGTTGCAGGAGCACTTTTTTTCAAAAACGCATTTTTAGCCCCATAAAACGTTTTTTGCCCAGTTCGTACTGGGTGGGGCATGTCTTCCGAACAGATTAAGCTTACACCGCCACTATAGACTGCAGTCAGTCCGTACTGTTTGGGGCATGTGTTCCGAACAGATTAAGTTTACACCGCCACTGCAGAATGTATTCAGTCCATACGACCCTTTATTTTTAAGTAATGTGACTTGTATGCACGTTTGATATGGTCGGCGAACAGCGATGAAATATATTCTATATTTATCTATATGAATGTCAAGGTTTCTTCCTGGTTAAATTAACAGTGTTTGTAAATGTAGGCTTTATTACTCAATAGCTGATAGTATAATATATACATGTATATAACAAACACTTATCAACCAGTTCTTTTCATGATGAGCTATCTAAACTAAATCATTAGTTGCCATTCTTGACAGTAACAAAAGTACCTAGCTAAACAAATTTGACTACAAGATTTATATGACATGTGTTCAGTTCAACACTTCTTTTATTCTTGAGCGTTTCATTATAATCGATGTAAGTGTGGATTAGCAATCTGAAGTTGGATGACTGCCATCAAATCCTTTGTTAATCCAATCATATATTCATGCAGATCATTTCGTTTTAAAATATGAAGCCAAAAATTGAAAAGCAGACGGACTTGTGCGGTATAAATAGTGTATCATATTTCAGATCGTAGATTTGTATATGAAATGTAATGGGGTTTAACGTCCTCTGCACCGAGTGGGCGAACGAAGACAGGCATATGCCATACAGTGTGCTATGAGGAATTTTGCCCTGTCTGTGGCGCTACGGCTACTCTTATATCGACTTCCAACTGGGAAGGGTTCTTTTACGTGCACGACAATGTGTACACAGGACCTCGGTTTTTCGTCCCACCAGATCGTCTGTCCTGCACCACTGACATGGATATGAATTTAAAAATTCCATGTATCACGTTATGGTCGAAATGCCCAAAAGGGATTTATTCACATTTCACAAGAATAAGAACGGACGGTTTCTGTAGATAGTAGTAATTTACACTATTCAACAATATATCATAGGTTACATACCAAATTGACTGAGAAATGAGTTATCCTTCAGCTATCGATAAGTTTAGAAATTGTTTCAAAGCATGTCGTTCAGCGTATGGAGTCCGAACCATTATTTGACTATTTTGGGGATATTAAAAGTAGTCGCTGTGCAAAACTTCAGACAAATCAGTCAGTACATGGCTGCAATATGGGCGTTTAGACTTCCATACGTGTTTTCTAACGTTTTTTATACTTGCTAACGCAGTTTACATAAGTAAAGGGCTTAAGCTTGTCGATAATTAGTCACATTTAAGGGTAGTTAAAATGCTGTTCATAGCAAAAGTGATAATATCTCTTTAATTTTCAGAATATGGGTTGGTATTGGTCATGCGGTAGCACATGCTTTGATTTTGTATTCTTAAACCTTAATACATCCAGGTGTATTTACTTAATCAAATGCTTTGTTTACAAATCGGATAACCCATGAACACGGGTTTCTTTTTCAGGTCGTGAAATCCCCAATATGTCTACTACAAATTTAACCATCTGCTCTAGCTATCATGTATTAAACCCGAGTACCCCACCGGGAGTAATAACAGACGACGACCTGGACGTTCCTCACTCTCGACTTTTAATCAAAGAAGAACCTGAGTTGGACGAGTTTGAAATAGGTAAGTTGCTTATATAATGGAATACAGAAACAACGGAATTTTAGATTGAAAAGATTTGACAAGAGACATGCTCTGTCAATCATTAAAGATATTTGGCTTTGTGTGGGGATTGCAAGTGCGGTTCGGGAAACACGGGGTTGCAGGGGAGAGTCGGAGACCCTATAGGATTTAACTCCCCGTTGTCTGTCCAGACATTAATCTATACGGAGAAATCAATGAGAAGTTGCGCATGATCTTTTTACTGTAGGTTCGTGGTGGTCCACGAAGAAGCATTGTCACTGACTTTATTTGTGCCCTTTTGCAGTTGCCGAACCCAGTAAAAAATATCTAAGACAACAGATTTCCTTATTAATTTCACACGATGTTCATTTTATTTACGTTGCTATTTTAGGTCAGTATAACATCATCAGTGAAGCAGACATTGTCATGCAGCCAAACTGGCCCATAGACAACACTGTCTCCGTTGACAATGATAGCTGCTCCAACGATGGTTGTTATGAATATGCCAGAACGGCAGACGTCTTTAACATTCCTAAACCAGTACGCAATCTCATTCCGCATGTCTTCTCCGAATCCGAATCGGATAGCAACGACTCCCAGGACAGCAAACCAGAACGCAAGAAACCCGGAAGAAAGAAGGGTCAAGGTAAAAAAAAACTAAATATAGAAATTGATTTACACAAAGACTTCAAAATACAAGATGAAGATAATCAGGTTGGGTAACTCAGACTGCAGGAGAACCTTGAAATCTAATAGTTTCGCCAACTCTCTGCGATATCACTATAGTTGAAGCGGGCGTTAAGGAACAGAAAAGAGCATATTCATACAGTTGTGCCGGGCAGGAAACTTAATGACACCGAGGGTCCGCCACAGTTGAGCAGTCGGTGTACTGAACTCACGGTGTGAATTTCCATGCTGGTTCCCTTTGACAAGAGTCGCCTAGGGTATTCTCTGTTCGTTCGGATGGCATGCACATAAATGAACGCTTCACACTTGTACTTGGATGAGTAGTCCGGGTAAAATTCGAATCCTTAAAATCAGTCACTTGGCAATGGGATATATAACCTTATTTCTAGTCATAAAATGACCAAAGTATTTTGTTAACGAAACGTTAAACTTCATCCAATACCGCCGATGTCCATGCCTGGAATATTAAATCCAACTTTTGCTCTATTTCAGTTTCCCGTGTATTACATTTGTGGGAATTCATCCGCGACTTATTAAAAGATCCAAATTATTCTGGTCGAATTATAAAATGGGAAGATAAATCACACGGGGTATTTCGTATTGTAAAATCCGTGGAGGTAGCTACTTTGTGGGGAGAAAAGAAGAAAAATAAACGAAAAATGACCTATGAGAAGATGAGTCGTTCATTAAGGTATGTTCCATTGTATCCATATGATTACAGAATAGTCTTGGTGGTTGATCTTTACTTAGCTTTAGCACCCTAGACTGACTCAAGCTTAATGACTACCTTGGGAAGGCGATCTCTCCTAGCTTTGAACCAAAGGTTTGGTTCAGATTCCATGATCAGATTGGGAAAGTCATTAGCTCGGTTGGAGCAGAAATGTAGGATGTTAAGAAATTATTTTTTTTTTTTCTCCTCTTTCTTGTGTTTTATTGTGCTCAATCACTAAATTCCTCTTACGGATTATATTATTTTTTGTAGCTTTCATACACTATGTTAACTATTGGGGATAAGTGACTATTTCGTTGTTCAAGGAGTTAGCTCATATTAATTGAGGATCTTGGTGGTGAAGTGCGATTTCGCTACAGTTGTCTCAAATTTGAAGATTTCGTAGGTTTCTAACAGAACTGTTATAGGAAAGTAAATATGTCCTATCTTTGAAGTACATTTTATGTCTAGCTATGAAGCGCTTGTTGGTATCATATTTGAGCACTATGCTTAAAGCTCACGAATGAGGAAAGGGTTTATTATCCTCATAATTCTAGTATGAGTAGACTTTTATTGTTATTACCAAGTTTTCAACAGCTGAGATTTAAAGACACAAAGTCCTTCTCTTTCAGATACTTCCTTAATAAATACTTTCATGTTTTATTATTTATCTTTATAGATACTCTAAACAAGAGGGTTATTTCTGTGCGGTTCCAAAGGAAAAGAAGTTCCCCAAGAAACTGTGCTTTAAGTTTGGACCAAAGTCAAAAGGTTGGGAATAAATGAACACCAAATGAATAAATGGTAATTATTTCACAAAACAAAGTACATAGCTTTGAGGGACACTTAGTTATTGAAGAACGTGTGCAATTTTTAAAGAAAATCTATCCCTGTGAAAAGTTCAGTGGTCATGGGATTATTTTACAATGTGAACCATGTGAAACTTTAGAGTGAGGGGAAACTTTAACACTATAGAATGCAGGTATATATGATGTTGGTACTGTGGTTTGTCAAATAAGTGCGCGGACACACATATAGCGAAACGTCTGTTAATGGATTGATAACATTGATATTAAAGGACAATGTTGGTGTCAGCCAATATTTTATGTGATAGAACTGATTAAACACATTCCAAATTTTAACACAGAGATCATTGCTACGGTAGATATGTAACATGATTTGAAGAAACGAAAAGTGACACAAACAAATGTAAAACACGAGTTTCCTTATACATTGTAACTGACTGAAGTAAGAGAGCGATAACAGATATTCTGCGATTTTCAGCTCACTGATAATTCCTTTGAAGACGAAAAGTTGTTATATGAGATTGTGAGAGGATATCTGTTCGAATCTGACAATTCATAAAAGAATTGGCTGTCACTAGATAAGAGAAAGCCAGAAAAACAGAAATAGTCCGTGGATTACCTTGTTTTGATTAATTCTATACTTAAAAATTTTAAGCGATAACCATAGTTTGTCACGGTAGACCTATGAAAAAATTAAAGTCATATCGTTTTTTTTTTTAGAATTACTTCTGCCTCCGCCACGTGGATTACAAATTGCAATTTGGTATGCGCTCTAAAACAGCAATTGGGCGTGGATTCCTGTGTAGCCTACTTCTGGTCAGATTGGAACAAAATGTGAAATTCGCTTGTATTCTGCAACTGCAAAACAGACAAAAGCATAAAAAATACTGGCTAGGTATGCGAATTCCTAACATGGGAAGTGGCATGAGGTGTTTTAGGAAGAGTAAGCGTATCCTACCCCGTAGCAATGATCCCTGTGTTAAAATTATATTTGGAATGTGTTGAACTAGTGCTATCACATATGTAATATTGACTGAAGCCAAAATTGTCCTTCTATATTCATTACTTGACTTTATGATCAGAACATAAGAGTTGGGAAAAAATCTTATTGTTTTGTAAACCATTGTAACAATCATAATTTACTTTAATACATCGAAGATTTAGTTTTTGCAAACCATTGTTTTTTTTAAAAAAAAACAACGACGACCATGTTGTATATAGCCAACCACAATCAAGTTATCATAAACTTATATTTATTAACAACGAGTTTGTATATACTGTAGTTGTTATAACTGATAAATTTTAATCAGGCATCGTTTTTAAAACAACGGCCTACTTTTATAAATTATTATTATTTTTAGCAACAGTTATTGCGTTTTATATAATTTATTTACAACATTGATGCATGTTTTAAAACTACTTATTTTTTTATATAAACAGCCACATATGTTTTAGCTGTATTATAGTTTATATTTTTGCAAGAGATTTCTGAACAAATGTGTTTAAGAAAGTATTAGATTTACAAAACTCCTATTTATTTATAACCAAGGCTTGATTCTTTTAAAGCATTATAGTTAAATGAAATGTTGATTACAAATTATTATTATAACTGTTGTTTATATTGTTTTCAGCAAGGATCGAATGATTTATAAGACTGTTGCTTGATTATACAACCATGAAAATAAATAGTATATTTGTAGATGCCAATTAAATCTACTAACTACAACATTATTAACTGTGGTTTACCTAACAAAACATAGACATAAAAAATCATGACACTAACTTGCATTGTTTGATAATAGATTATTATAGATATTAGATAAGTCATTTTAAGATAGCGTAATTTAGTAATATCAAATATTCATATGTTCAGTAATTTTCTATCGGATCATACACGTAAGTTTAATTGAGCGATAAGAATTCTGAACACACTAAGTTTTATTAGCTGTATGTACGTATCATAATGCATCTAACGCAGTGAACGCTTACTGCTGCCCCACCCCCCCACCCGGATCAATTCACTTGAATTGATATTAATTGTTGTTTATTTCTTCCAATGTTTGTGTAGTTTGTCTAGTTAGGTTTGTCTTTTCGGTTATGTTTTGCGTGCAGTGCGGTTCAAGAATCCAAAGATCGAGTTATATAAATATTATCGGAAATTCCCACTTCACGAATAGGATATTTGAAAGAATCCTAATTGAAACATGGAGCTACATTATCAAGAAGAAATACAATTTCGATAATATTTCCCTATTTTCATTTTATATACCGCCTTTAGCAGTTGTATAGGCGGGCAATCGAAACCATGCTACTTGACTGTGTGGCATACCGTTTAACCTTAAGAGCACGTTTTAAGCATTTGGCCAGCCACCTCCACACACCCTCCCCCAACCACACACACACACGCACCCCTACGGCTGAAAGACAAATATAGCTTTTATACAAATCACAATAAAAAGTAATCCTGGTCAATAACTTATTCAAATCGATCAATCATAGTAGCCATTTGTCATTCTATAGTTGGTTTTCACTAAGATTGTAGACCTACGTCTGAATGATATTTCATTTCACTCCACTAATATCGAGTTCAAGATGGTATCTAACTTACATTTTTTCTTTGAATCACTTAGATTACTATCTATAGAGCGTAAAGTTTTAATAATAAAAATATTAATGGACTGTCTCGCGCACGGTGTCTTTAAAAAGGGCCCAGTAGAGATTATTAGACTTCACGACATTGACTATCATATTGTTTTATGTGTTTACTGTTGATATTATCATTCATTATTTATTTGTTCAGATTAATGTCATTGTTCTGCTATATTCTATTGGAAGCAGATTACCTAAATAACAATTATTAATATAGAAATAGTTCTTATCAACACAAAGTGTTAACATATAGTTAAAAGAATTGTGTTCATTTACTTGTATAATAGTTTAAATGAATATAGTTTATATTATTCTACTATTTGTTATATTTTTATTATTACGATTATTCACTCACATTTAGATGGTTTAGCGATGCTTTCAGGGTGGTTAACGTAAAAAAATATTTATCAGACTGAAAATGGTTTTATAAGATTGGCGGTAAGGTGGCATGTAAGACATTTTGCAGAGATTTTCAAATGACATTATTATATAATGTGTCACCAAGCTTTATAACACATATACTATAATGTATATTTAATAACTATGTTCTTACCTGACATTGACTATAATCATGTATAATCACGTGTTATTGAATGAAAGGAGCTGTCCCGATTTACCCAGAACGCCTTAAATAAAAGTGGGTTTAATTATGTTAAGAAAATGTGACAAAATAAAGACTCGACCTTTTCTTAAACTTTAACATCAAAGATCATTGTGACCGGAAATGATAGACAGATTTAGACATTTAAGGAACTTCAGTCTTCAGTTGTATGAGTGACTTATATATCGGGTAGTTATCATTTAAATTGTACATGTATATATATTTTTGTATATGAAACGCTATCCCATACCCCTTGTCGGTGCACGTGGGGTCTCCATGGACCCCATGCACATATTTTATGCTTTCTGAAATTTAATTGTTTTTCAGTTGTCAAATAAACCCCTGCCTTTTAATTCAGATATATCTGTACGTAAAAACTTTGAATTATAACTGGGGTCCATATGGACCCCTTGATACCTGCTATGTGATTCTCACAACGTGAACCGACAAGGGATACAATGTAGAGATATGTTCTCGCCTAGTATTAAAACGCATATGAATATATAATTTACATATTTTATTTGTACATTATCCGAGTGAAAACTTCTGTTTGAAAACAGTTTCATTCCATTCCATTCCAGTTTCATTAAGTTTTTGTAAGAAAATGAAATAATAAAATTTTATTTTTTCTTGTAGCGTATTTTGTCTGCTTCTCTATTATGTAACTAAAATGTATTTAAATGCCGATCAACTTAATTAGTCCAGAACATTGCTACGCATACTCTGCGCTGTATACGACACATATATACTAATTATAGCTAGTTGTAAATGATCTTACTTCAGATGGTTATAATTCAGTCTAAAATAAATAAGATCTGTGTTTTAATCTTGTAGTCTGACAAGGACAGCTGTCTAGTCATTCGGATGGTACGAAAACTCAAGGTCCCGTGTACACATTGGGGTATTGGATTCGATATAACTGTAGGCCGTAGCGCCACTGTCCGGGCAAGATTTCCCTCATAGCATCCTGTATGGCGTATGCATGTCTTTATTAGCTCAGTCGGACCAGAACAGTAGGACGTTAAACCCCATTTCATTTTTAATCATGTAGGACTGAATGATGTACGAACCACTTCTGTCAGAAATACCTACAAATTGGGGAAACCAATATCCCTTCAAGCGTACCCTAGCAAATAGTTTGAAAAGCAAAACTGGGTGTCATTGGTGATTTGTGACCCAAATAAAACGTTTAACTTCATCAGCTAAAACACTCCAAACAACGAAACGCTCAAATTAACACGTTTCATAGAAACAGAGTAATTAATGACAATTGTGTTTATCAGGCGGTACCCTAGGGCCCCGATCTGATCCACTACGACAAGGGGGAACCACGCCTGAAAATCTGGATGAACTTTCTCGGCCAATGCAGGGATCGAACACCCGACCTCCAGGCTAGCGAGCCAGCGTCTTTCACACTTAGCCACTAGCACATTCCTCAAATCGATTTAATTGGAATCCGTGTAAAAAGGGAGCTTACTCCTCTCATACAGACTGGATTCAGACTAGTAATTCTCTCAACATCCGATGATCTTATTATTTAAAACCGCATCAGCGTATACACATATTGACGGAGAGTTGAGTGTGACAGCCTAAAATTTGTTCTTGACTTGGTCAAAGTAATCGATCAGCTAGATAACTTTCCTCAGTCTTGTTTGTTTAGTCCCTGATACTTAGACAGACACCGTCAACGTTGATCCGTGTTATTGGTGTGGTGACCAAAACGATATTTTTAAATATTTTTGTATTGTTTCATGTGTTGCTGGTATCGTTGCTTTTAAAATTTTTAATGTAAATACAATAAAGAAAATTTTACAAGCCAACGACCGGTCGCCATTCACCAGGACCAACCCATTTTCATATGCCCGGGGCGACACTTCTTGGGGATGGCAAGTGCATACCAGAAATATTCGAAGGGTTAAATCTTTGAATAATTTATGGACTAATCTCCTTGGGGGCTGATATAGCAAATCACCGTGTAAACCAGAACATATTTCAGCAAAGAGAGGCTAGAATTATGATTTCTCAAAGATATATTATAGGGTTTTTCGATCAAATGGAGAGTTGAAGGGGAAAAATACATATACAAATTTTATATACATGTATAGGTAATTGATTTGATAAATAGTTATTTAGGTAAAGCAGTTATAATATGCAAAGGGGGGTGGGGGTGGAAGGGATGGCCAAATGGTTAGCACGTGCGCGCTGTATCATAAGGTCTGTCATTGAGTCAAGTGGCGTGGATTGATTCCCCGGTTGTACGTGTCAAGGAGTAGGGTCGCCTGTCCAACCTCGTGGGTTTTCTCTGGTACCTCCGGTTTCCTCCCACTGCTAAAGACCCCTACGCGCAAGCGAATTATTGAAATAAAATTGAACCATATATGTCAGTTCCGAAATTACCTACTTTGTGTCGAGTGGTCCTCTCTACAGTATACAGGGGGGGGGGGGGGGTGTCACTGAAACTTTTGCCCTGGGGCGCCACCCCACACAGGCTTGGGAGGACCTTGGGCCCTCGTGTAAATTACTTACGCTTCTGAATTTAGAGCTAGGTGATGGTCGACAATATCAAATCTATGGGCGGATTAAACTTGTTGGATTGGTTTCATGTATTACGGCCTCAAACCACGAGTAAAAATCTATAAACTGCCTGTTTGATAAATAGTCTTCAATAATGTAAAATGTAAGGGTAGTAAAGAATTTTTTTTTTATATACCAATTTTTTTTTTCCGGGCTCTGGGTTCATGTGAAACTGAATAAAAATCAGCAATAAAAGGGAAATATCTGTGGATAAACTCATTTTTTTTTTATATTATTGACAATAGTTATTCGTAACCATATTAAGGTTAGAGTTAATGTAATCCTAATAAAGATAATCTTGTTGTTAGGGGTAGGGGTAGGGTTAGCGCTAGCACTGTATGCATCTGGTGACCTACGACCAAATCTGTAGTAAGCCTTACCTTTTAGACCTTTCCTTGGAACCATCCACTTCTGTGACTGGACGCAATTTAAGATGGAAGACATCAGTAGTGGAACCATTTCTAGGAAGCCCACATGTTACATATTGTTTTATCTATATCGATATACATTGTAAATTAAAATAATGAAATCAGTTATCGTGTTCTAAATCGCAGCCATTGTCTTGGACCCGTTGCTTTTTTATTCATAGATCAGTGTAAATTAGTATGCCTTGGTAAACAGTTTATCGTGATTATCACTATTGTCATTACCCTTAGATTATCCTTTTGTGATACTGGCGGTGTTGATAAGGATGAACGTGACGATGATAAAGATACCGTTACTTGTGATACAATTGATACCTAGTCTAAATAGTATTGTAAATTCATATCTGCATTAAAGAGTGGGTATGCTGAAAATTTACGAAAAGGTGGAAAATAAATTGTAAAGCTAGACGCTGAAAGATTACAGGATGACGAGATTTGCAGTCGTGTTAACGTTATATTTCATTTCATATTGTAAAACATTTTTTTCACAAATAAGGATTAAGCGTAATATAGGTACTATTTATGTAAGAGCTCTATCTGATAAACGTCATTCCATGACCTGATTAATGAAATGAAATGAAATGAAGTGGAGTTTAACATCCTATGTCTCTGCACCGATGGTCCAAATGAAGGTATATTTTGCTCGAACAGTAGCGCCTACACTTATTTCGAAAAAAAAAACGTCAACTGTTCTTTTACGCGTGAACACCAACATAATTGAATAGAAAAATAGAAATTATAATATAATATCACTTTGATACATTCATATTAATTACAACAATATGACTGTACTGTTCGACCCATTATAAGGTTTCAATAGAGCTAGACGACAAGGCTTTGCGGTGAGTGAATGCTTTCAAAAATAAAACAGTGGGCCTGCCAATCGACCATGGTCTGAGAAAAGAATTAGCTTCAAATCGCCTAAACCTCTTGCGACGGAATAACCGATTCCAATTAAATAGTGTACTCTTAACTCAAATTAGACCCAATTTCTCTGGCATAAAAGTTTTGAGACGCTTTAACCTCTCTCTACCATTATAACCAAATTCATATTTTCATCATAATATGAAATAATTTCTTTGTGCACAATTAGCTATGCTTCGCTTAAATAATTGATGATATGAATTGACGGTTGAGATAAGACAAGAAAGATGTTGTATGAATATTCAATGCTCTTGAGAAACGAGCATAAATTACTTATAAGGTTGTACTGTCACAATGGAATTTTTCTTTCACGGTCAACAGAGCGAAACAAAACGGTAAGAAATTCGTAAAATTTTACAAAACCAGACATATATGATTATAATTAATAAATAATTGCTTGTTACGCAAACTTGCTTTCTGCAATGGTACCGTTAAACATGGACTTGTTCAACAAAAAGAATCTATATTATAATTGTCTTTTATTCGCTACTCATACAAAGAAACGCCTTGTGCCAAAGGTACTTTTAAAATCACAGGGGGATTCGATTTATGGATGCATTTGTGCGAAAACTGATATCATAATTAATACAACATTTTCCAGGCATGGGACACGTGAAGCATGTTTCCAGAGCCATTTGGGACGTGGAATTGTTTTGGGGGGATTTGAAAGAAAGGTGCATCATTAAACACATTATCGATTTTACATATTTGTCTACATCCTTTTTGGTAAAACTGTATATATTATATATATGATTAAAGTAGATGAGGTACATTTACGTCTATGTTTATGGTAGATAAATACATAAAAAATAAATAAATATACTTTATGTTAAAAAATCAACTTCCTCTACGTCTTCATTCTGATTATATAGAATAGTTTCAAGGCATGGTGCCTGAGTAGCATGTTTTTAAAGTTTCAAAGAAAGGTTAAAGGAAAAGTACACCGTTAAACGTACCAGCGTTTTCGTAATTGTTTTAGAAAAGAAAAGGCGAACTCCATTTCATGTACTCTTTTTGCATGTGTACGTTGTATTTTGTTTGGGTTTTTTTTTATAATTATTTGGCGGAGGCTGAGTGAGGGTGTTTTAAGATTTTTCAATCATGGTTCCCCCCAATCTGTTTCAAAGAGGATTGCAAATGTCTTCTAATATCTCACGTGACGTCACATCACGCGGTGTCATTCATTGGCTCAATGGCACGTGCATTGTTTACGTGCATTGGTTCAGGCAGAATGTTGCCTTTTACTCATTTTAATACCCATTTACATTAAATTAAATTGGAAATAATTTTTACCTACAGATACTTTAAACGTTTTTATTTATTTTTCTAACACATAAAACAAAATTAAATGTTTTAGAATTTCATTTTTCGGAGGAAAAAAGTTGATATTTGGGGCTCATTAAGTCGAATCGATGTCATCCTTATCAGTGATTTTAGCGGTATAGCGAATATTCACTGCTGATTAGTGTGGGTTTCCCCTTGTCAGTTGGAATGCAATTCCCCTCATAGCACGCTGTATCTCGTATATTCGTCTTCATTAGCGCGGAAGGTTCATTCATTCCATTTTGTGTATACGTTTGATGGGATCCACTGCAAAGACCCCTGGGAATAAAGGTTTGTCTGTGGTGTCACCCAGCAGAGGGACGTTAAATACCCAGTTAGCTGAAATCCGGTTGATCGAATGCTCGTCTGGCGAACTACATATGATCGAC